GAAATAATTGATAATAAATGTCCAATATAAAGGACAAATACGGTAAAAAAACAAGCAATACTTAATACCAATCTGAATGGCAAATGATTGCTGACCGAGCAAAATAAAATCAAAAAAACAAAAAAACATCATGAGCATGCTAGTGCATGATGAGAAAGAAGATGATGGCAATTATAGAAATGAAATGACCTTCTTCTACAAGATTACTAACTTAAACAAAAATGGTATTAGCTAACTATAAAATGTTAGGCTATTATTATTATTATGGTCATTAATTTTTTTTCTCTTTAGCTTTTTTTTTTCTCTCTTGTGCATCTTTTTCATTCATTGTTCTCGTTTCTTTCTTTTTTTTCTTGCTATACTACGATTTTGTTTTCTTATATTTTTCTTTTTTGGTTTTAACTTAAAATGAAGATGGAAAACTTTTTCTTTTTTTTTTTTTGTCAGTAGCTAAAATGAAAGACAAAAAAACAAACACTAAGATCGATATAATTCTAATATTTACATTGACTTCTCTGGTTTTTTTTCCTTTTTCTTGATTCAAGTGTGGACTTTTGATTATTTACTTATTTGTTGTTGTCATCATATTTCTTTTCTTTTCTTTTCCATTCGATATATATCTATGTTTATGCTCGGTTTGTTTGTCTGATCTAATAAAGAAACAAAAAAAAGGATGTAATGGCGAATACTATTCATGATAATAAGATCAAAAAGCAACCGATGATATATTGGGCTTGAATGTCATCATCCTAATACTGATTCATTGAGTATTATGATCATAATACTTCGCATCTTTCTATTCTCTTTCCTAGTTTCCAATTAGCTTCTACATGGGATATACACAAATTTATGTTGAATAGAATAGAAAGCAAGACAAGAATAATTCATAATAAATAACAAATCAATTTTTTAGTCTTCTTGTGTTTTTAATATCGTTGGTTTTATATTATCAATTGAATTTATTTAGTAGATTTTATGATTGAATATTAACAAACAACCAAAAAAAAAAAAGAAAAAAGAATAAAAAATTCTACTTTAAAATTATCGATTTAGTTTTATTTTGTCAAGAAAAATAAACGATAAATTAAACATAGATTTACATTTTTCAACAAACATCAACATATATATATAGATCATACACTCATCGATCAAAAATAATATTAGTTTATCGCTATCTTCAATTACATATTCCAACAAATTCTGCATTAGAATTAAAATGTATGGATAAATTATGAAAAACCATTGTGTTTATAGTATGCATATGGGATGTCACACACACACACACGCACGTTTTCTTTGCTTCATTAATGAATTCTATATAATATTGTGCAATAAAAACAAGTTTGCTGAGTATGACCATTCATTAGCAAAGATTTTTCTATGATAATGATATGAAAACTTCTTTTATCAAAAATAAAAACAAGAAGAAGACAAAAAAAAAACGTAACCTTTGGAAATCAACAGAATTAAGAAGAAAACAAAAGAATAATAATACTTTTCAGTGATAAATACCGTATTGGTCTATTATCTGTCGACACCAAAATATATGCTATGTCACTTAAGAGTTATAGGTTTTTCTTCGTCTTTTATTTTTTTTTTTTTGTTGCTTACTTATCTGTTTGTTTTTTTAATACAATGTATAAGAACTCTTAGGAAGAAGTATTATATCGGCTGAGTAATTTACCATAAATCTAGTAGTTCAAAAACATATCTTATAAGATATATTGATTATTTATTTTATTTTACTAATACGATATCTATTAATAGAATGTACTAAATCAAGCAAATAAATAAACGATTACCTCCGATAGAAATTTAATTCTATTATAGATAATTATAACTAATGGTCTTTAAAAGGTGTACTACACAATAATAATCAAATTGATTCGGTAAGATATTTGTTATTTAAACAATTTTAATCTATGTATTTGTATGTTCTATTGTTATGTATTATGCTGATTCTATAAATATATTGTAATATGGTGTAGTTAAAGTTACTATAATAATGATCGATTAGCCTGATGATATACTAGTAAATGTAAAACAAGCCTTTTGTCAATGTCAATCAGAAATATAAAAGATCGGTACGACTAATTGAAAAGAATGATGGAAATCTGAAGACATAGGCTTCATAATTATATGAGGCACTGAAGATTTTCTATCGTATTCATATTCCGATTTTCTCCGCCTTCTTCTTTTTTTTTTCTTTTGTCTTTGTCATCTAAAACACATGTCCTAGTGTTTTTTTGTCCTTGCTTTGGACAAATGCACTGACTTTTTTTTTTTAGATGAAAGCTTGATTATTTTTTTTTTCTTTTATAGCTTTTTATTAGTATTTTCCAAGGGAACAAATCAGTAAGAGAGATTGAGACTTGCGACATTGATTTAATTTCCGTTATTGATGGGGAAATAAAAAAGCGAGAGAAAGGAAGACGAGGAGGGAGAACACAATGAATAACAGGTAATTGGCCTTCTTTAATAATCATCAAGTGACGCACAGAAAATCGCATTTGCATTCTTCATCTCGTTTTTTTTCTACTTCTAAATGTTACACTTAGGTAAATAATTGACTATCGTTACAGAATATTTTTTTTGTCTCAGTAATCAATCGTTACTCTTTTGAGTGAACATTAGATTTTTCTCTCTATACCGTTCTATTTTCTACTCTATCTCTTTCTCTCGTCGTCTCTCTCTCGCTCGCTCGCTCTCTCTCTTCGCTTCTCTTTCTTTTCGGAAAATGCACGCACACACATATATACACTATGACACGGCCGATTATTCTCATAGACGTCATAAGTTCTTCTCTCTCTTTGTCGACGCGTCGCTTCAAGTTTTTGTATTACTACTGCACCCTATTGTCGTTATTACCAGGAAAGTGGTACTTAAACCGATCGCTTCTCTGTTTTCTCATTGCTACTCGAAAGTCAAATACATTTTCGGTAAATCGTATTAATATAAAAAAAAAAGTACAAATTGTTTGAATCATCTATATATTTATATATTTATTTATTATAACTATTATTCTTCAAGAAACATACATATACACACACACAAAAAGAAAATAATATTCCATTTATCTTAACTGAGAATTATCTCAAGAAATTAGTAGATAAATCATCTTTGTACAAACATCTTAGTTTGACATCGATCGGAAATTACAAACATACAGAACCAAAAAAAAAAAATAAAAGAAAATAATAGAAAACAGAGATCTTTAACAATTCATCATTCGTTTTTTTTTTGTTTTGTTATATTCAACATTTATCATACAATTGCAGATTGATCATCGACTTTCTTATCTTAATCAATTAAGAAAAAAGTAAGTAATATGAAATACCTTCTATAATAATTTTTTCTTTTTCTTTTCTTATACTTATCAAATCCTTGATTATTATCAGATATTCGACATAAGATATTAATACGAAAGAAACTATATAGTTGCTATTGTTATTGCTGTTTCTTTTTTTTTGTTCTCTTGTTCTCTTGACTACTGTTGTTCTAGTTATTATTATTTGATGTTGAATATTGAGAAACTAATGACATATTGTGATCGTGATAATCATAGTATGGGTGTGGTTCAACTAGACGATCGTGCAATTTCGATTCGATCAATATTTATTCTAGCATAGTTAACTTTAATATTTTGCCTAACAAAGAAAAGAAAAGAAAAATCAGTTCTCGATCTCATTTAGAAGAGCCTTATCTATTATTCTGATTTTCATCGATGTAACTATCAATAAGTAATGTAATAAAAATATAAAAATATAAAAAAAAAAAAGAAAAAAAAAGAAAAAGAAAACAAAAACTCTTCGACCTAAGGGCTTTGAGATATATGACGTTAATCCGATTTAGTTCTCCTTTATTTGCTATTGTCGATGGTCGTACTAACGGGCAAATACATACACACATGTTTGCTTGATTATCATCTTATCATTGGAACTGTATGTGCGCTTTTGGCCACCGAACAAATTTGCAAATATCGACAATATATCAAGTCTTTTGTCACTGTTGTCTTATGACTGGTGATATTAACATTATGTATAGAAAAATAAAAATATCAAATAGATTGTTGTTTTTATATTTTCTCGTTTATGTTCTTTTATTAAATATCACTAGCACATATAAATACATATATTTATGTATTTATAGATATTAGCTTGTTTTTTTGAAGAAAAAAAAAGAAAAACGAAAATTTTTGTTTTAAATAATTATTTCGTAAGTCATATTAAGGAAAAAGTTATTTATTCACTAATTATTCATCTTGATGTGTTTGAATTAAAAACATTTCATATAACTCAGTTGGATTGTTTATGGAAGACAGTTGGCATTGACAATGCATGAAATAGCACATACATGCTGCCATCATCACAAGTACATCATCAACCACATCAAGTACGATCTACATAAATGTATATGAGAAACTCCCTAGCGAGAAATGGGATGCGTCGTATAAAAGTGCTATATTAGTTATGACAACATTTTTTTTCTTATACTAAAAAAGAGAAACGAAATACAAGTATTACGTTTAGTTGAGTAGATGCTTTTTGTTTTTATTCTTAAAAAAAAAATCAAAGATAACAAAACAAAAAAGCAATAAATACATATCGTATTGTAAATGGCTTTATATTTTTCTTTTGATTGATATGACTATATCAACAAGTAAGTGTCGTTAGTTAATCATATAGAATATTAAGAACAAAGAAGAAAAAGAAAACTAGAAAATATATTATATCATGAAAGAAAAATTTTTAGTTGATTATATTTAATGAAATATCAATTATGAATTAAGAAAGAGATTGCTTTATAATTTTTTTTTTTTTTGATAAAGAACAAAGAAAATTATTCATAATTTCCTTTAAAATTAATTCTTATTAGATATATATATATTAATATTAGTTTTCTATTTTTAGTGATCACAAATACATTATCATCAAAAATTTGTTATCATTATATTGTTACATCCGTTTTCCTTGTCTACTTATTATTATCGTTCATTCATCATGTTTAAGATCAAAAGAAAATCTCAATCACCATCAGTATTACCCTCATCAAGCAGTGTTAGTCGTAGTACATTACTTGTTTCGTCTTCTTCTGCTTGTTCTACTCGTCATCATCATAATAATGTTTCATTATCATCATCTGCCTCTGTCTCTCCACAATATAATAACTATAAAAAAATTCAACGTCAACAACGACATGAAGAAAACATCAATAATACTCGATCATCATCACATTCGAAACAATTTCTTGGTTACTTTCGTTGCTGCTGTTATCATTTTTGTTCGTGCACATGTGAATGTTCCATTCCATCAAATAAATCTCAATATGATAATAAATCATCAATATTTAATCGAAAAAATTGTGCAAGTACATCATCAATTAGTTCATCTTATTATCGTCGTTAAAAAATTAGATTTTTTTATTGATTTTATTCTTTCAACAGATCATTTACGTCAATATATATTTGAACGACATTTAATTGAAAGAAAAACTAATCCAAGTTTTCTTCCTAAACTAAGTTTCATTGTCCTTTTATTCTCATGTCTATTTCCTTTGACAATTGCTACTACATTACCACCGACACAAATAACTTTAACCAATCGTGACATATATGTATTTAGTGATTTTGGTTCCAATACTTCTATAAATTTTTTATTTTCTCGAAAACCTCAATGGCATGCTGGATGTTGTATGCGTTCAAAAGAAATTGCATCATCAATATGTAATATTAATAATAATTCAATTGAACAATTATATCAAATAGATTTTCTTAATAATCAAACATTATTTTGTCAACGTTATAATGTATTTCGTTATTTATCACGAAAACCTTTAGCTATATTTACATATTGTATTGTTACTATTGGTATATTATTAAATACATTTGTTTTTCTTGTTTTAATATTTGGTTCATTAAGACGATCAACATCATTTGCATTATTTGTTGCATTAACATGTTTTGATTTATTAAGTTTAGCATCAAGTTTATTTGCCCAATTATTTCGTACTGTAATGACATATTTAAAAGCATCAGCAACATTTTGTAAAATGTTTGGAATATTTTTTTTATATTTTCGTCAATGTTCATCAACAACATTATTATTAATTGCTATTGAACGTTGTATTGTTATTAAATATCCATTTTGTCGACATACATTTAATCAATTTCGTTTACCATTATTAGCTTTTATTATGTTATTATTTGTTGTACCAATTCCATTTGATTTTGTATATTATACAAATGGTACATTACATTGTGAAGCATTTGAAACTGTACAAGCTGATCATTATCAAATATTTCGTGGATTTTTTACAGTTTTTTCTTATGCTATGTTACCATTTGTTGGTATAACAATAAGCAATTTATTAATTATAATTGAACTTAAAAAATCAAAAAAACGTTTTATGACTAAAGGTGCAAATGGTACAATGAGACGTTTTTCTACAAAGTAAGAAAATAATTTTTTTTTTTGTTTTTTGGAATATTTTTGTACGAAAACAAAAATCTCATTAAATTCTTTAGTATTAAAAACTGTATTGTTGTTTTTGTTTTTTGTTTTTTGTTATCTGTAAGCTAGACATAAAACATGCTTAATGAGATATACTATGATGACGTGATCGTCTGATAAGAAGACAATTTTTGATAGACAGAAGTCTCTGTTATAACTCAAGAAAAAGACAAACTTAATGGCTAGATTGACCTCATCAATAACAGAGGCGTAAAAAAAAAGTTTCTTTTTTGCTTTGTTTTTTTTATTTGTCTTCAATATTTTAATATGACATAAATACTTTTATATCGATTATAGTATAAGAAAAATATTTATCTAATGATTAGAAGGTCAATAGATATATAGACAAAATGGTAATATCGGTTTATATGATGAGTAAACATTAATATTTATCATTATACGATAATAGAAGATAAGAGGAGATTTTCTTGTTTTTTTTTTTTTTTGTATCGTTAGATTTTTCTTGATCTTTCAAATATTATCAATAGTATAAGAATTAAAGAATTTTTATTACTTCTTAATAGAAGAAAGTCTAATCTATATAATTCCTTAAGATAAATCTATCAACTTAAATATTATCATATCAATAATAACATTGTATTTATCATTATTTGATTCTATGGCGAAAAAAAAAAACAAAAAATTTTAAAAGAAAGCGTTGATTTTTTGTACAGTTAACTATCAATCAACAATATAGAGTGTAAATTCAATTTACTAATCATTGGTATACGTAAACGATAAAAATATAATATCGTCTATAATTATTTCTAAAAAAAAAAACAATTAAAAAGAAATTTATTTTCATATGTCAATATGTATATGTCATAAATAGAGTTAATAACTTAATTTTAAGCATATTATAACTTCAATCTTAATTTAAAAAAAAAAAATATCAATAAATTATATTTATATCATTAATTTTCTTTTTTTTTTTTGTTTAATCTTATGAAATTTTTCTAATTATTATTTAGTGTAGTGGAAAAACGTGGTACAACAGTTATGTTACTTGTTGCTTCATTTGCATTTCTTGTTCTACTTGGTCCATTTTATGTACACTGGTGTATAGCATATTTATTTTATAATTATCCTCAATGTCATTTTACACGAAATCTATATGAAAATGTTCAAGTATGTATGGGTGTATTTCATCCATATTTAACTGTTATTGAAAAAGGTATGCGTGAATCAAATCATGCTATTAATTTTCTTCTTTATTGGGCAACATCAACACGTTTTCGTGCAGATTTTGAACGTATAAGTCGTCGTTTATTCTATCGTATATTTGGCAATGCTATATTATTTTTATATAAACATATATGTTTTTGTTGTACAGCACCATCATGTCTTGCTACACTTGAACGACATGTATCAGATACAACAGATCCTGATTCATCATATGAATTAAATCGAAAAAATCAAATTGCATATAAAACATCACATTATTATTCAAATTTTGAAAGACGACGACAACATCAATTAGTTCAAGCAACATTATTAAATAATACTATACCAACAGATTCAAATTTAACACCAACAGCTTCATTTCATACATTAACAGAACATACAGCTAAAACAGTACGAATGTTAACATGGAATCCACATGATCCAATGATGCGTGGATTAGAAAATAAACGTAAAGCTGCACATTTATCTCAACATCTTTCAACATCAAACGCTGTTTTATAATGTTCCCTCTCTCTCTTTTGTATTTCTTTCTTTTTCTCTATTTTTTTTTGTTTTGTCTTCGTCAAAAATCTTAAAAAAATATCAATGCATATATTATATCTCTTCTATATAGACTTATGTATGATATCAAGAGAAAACTAACGCCTACAGATAAACTATCAAGAAACTAAGTGACACATTTTAAAGTTTCCTTTTTTTTTTTTTTTGTTTTTTGGTATTCAGTGCCGTCACTAATATATGTCGACGGTTATTGACAATGCGATAATTACCTTGTCGTATATTATATCTATATATATATATATAGTAAAAATCTGAGAAAGAAAATACATTAGTTAAAAGCAATTTCTTGCCTTCAAAATAAATCATGCAAATAAATAACATTTATTCTTATGTATGTCAAATCATTGTAAAAATAATCAACGACTAACAAAAAAAAAAGAAATAATAGAATTATTATTTTCTATATGCACTCCATGCTCTCAATATTAAATTGAGTAGACAATATCATAATTAATAATTCTTAACATAAAAATAATAATGTTTAACAAAAATATTTAAGTTCTATACAGAAATAAATAACATAACAACAAAAGGGTCAAGATTGCGTATATATAAAAACGTTTTTCTTTTTTTTTTTTTTTATGGAAAACAAAATAATGTAATTATATATTGAATTTTGTGACAGTTCGAATAGTATTATTTCAAATGGAAATTTAATTATACAAATACTATTAGAAATGCTCGAATGCCTAAAATATAAAAAAAAAAAAAACAAACAAACGTCTAACTTTCTTCAAACTATAACAACTTTATATAATTACAATGACATTATTTGCACCATCATCAAGTATTCTGTCTATCATTATTAGAAAAATCTAATCAAATCATCATAAGTCAAAAATAAAAACTCATGGGAATGAACCATTCGAACATCTTTGTCATTCTAATAGGTTCTACTTGATGAGATAAGAATTATCTCCAAAGGCATTTTTATTACATAGAAGAATATTCTTCGTTCGATTGTACAAAGAAATGTGTACTTCAACAGGAGATACATTAATTATTGTAAAGATTCAATGAAAAAAATACTTTTTTTTATTTCCTTAGGGTAACATAAATTCATTCCCGACATTGTAAATATCATCCTTGTTCTAAAAGTTTTGCACTCATGAGAAATTTCTTTTTTTTTTTTGCATCTGTGCTCTTCTGATTTGCCTATACATACATTCTGACGTCGTGTTTTAATGAAAACTAGGCTTCTATTGGTATTTGACTAACCTAATGAAATTTTGTTTTGTAAAAGTTCGAGATTTTTCTGAAAACTCTTATTTAAATCAATTAGTTCAATATTTTAAATTATTTTTTTTCAGAAAATCTTTAAAATCAATATTCTTGAAAAGGATCACAGTATTCATATTAACATTACTTAAAAAATAATATATATATTCTGCACCAATATGTTAATAACCTGAACTATTTTTTTCAAGGCCTTCATAGCTTATTTGGGTCTAATATGATGCATATAACTCCAATTTAAAATTAATTAATCAGTTGGGAACTTTTCTCAGAAGACAAATCCAACACGTCTGCCTATATTTTCATTCAGAAACTAATCAATACTATACCATGCCGATTTTCAATTAGTTTTATACACATAGATATAAAATTGAATAAGTGCAACGAGTAAAAGAACAACGAAATAGATGGACATTCTTACATAGTTTATCAAGTAAAAACTTGATATTATTCCAATAAACCAAATTCAAAACAAATACAATATCATGTCAATCAAAATAATTAGAAGTGTTGATTTCCATTAAAAAAACAAAATCACGATATGAACATGTCTTTTCTTATCAAATCATTGTAATGATTTAATCGTGTTCAATAATGAATCTTTTGGGGATATATCTCCATTGCATTATCATTCATCATTTCGGTGATGATGATGATTGATCAACATGTCCTATGAACGACCTTTGAAAACATAGCAATAGCTAGTTATTCATTAAAATCAAAACAACAAACAAAACAAAAACATACATGAGTTAATTGATTTGAATGAACAACATTGAACAATAAAAGTTGATTTAATTTGAATATGTTATGAATGTTGTTTTTTGTGTTATATTATGAATTATTGATGATTTTCGAAATTAATATTATATACATATGTATGCTTTCTATTGTTCTTTGCCTTTTGTTTCTATTCGATTTAAAAAAGAACATCCGGCTTGAATTTTCATTTATATGTATATTCAAGTAGAAATGTAAACATATGTTTGAACACATCATAACAGCAAGGATATTCGATTATTGTTTGTATATATATATATATATGTGTGTGACGAGAAAGAAAAGAAAACAGTTGACAATCACATCTCTCACCTATCATCATGCAACTTCTAGTTTGTCTATATATTCTTAGTCTATATTCTATACAATTGAATCATGCAAAATTATCTCATAATTGTCGATTTGTTCGATCATTTTATCAAATACATTCAAATATATTTAAACTTGATAGAAATCAAACATCATTAATTGTTCAACCATTATATGCATTATCAAATCAATCATTTTCATCACTTTCAATTGGTATTATTTATCGTCTAGCAGATACTTATCTAGTACCTATACCTCTTATTTTTGAATGTTTACAAAGTGAACGTATTTATTCACCCATCGATTGTGAATTTACTATTGTCGATATTCGTGTAAGTTAGAAAGAAAAATGCATAAGACTAACAATATTAATATGAAATATGTGATACTTTGTAATACAATTAAAGCCTGTCGAATTCAAAAATTTTTGAATTTGAAGATCCAATTGACGATAAATTTTTAGACTCAGACTCGAGTTCAAATCAACCTCAACAGACGATATAAGTAAACGATATCTATTCTCTTAGAACTTAAAACTGAGATAGTTCATTGCTAATTCATTCATCAATTTTTGAATATGTTCTCGAATAATGAGTCATCGAAAACTGATTTAAAAAAGAAAAGAGACAGCCGAAAATTAAAAAGTTTCTATGAGTAGGTTATATGTATAACTGTATTACACAAAAAAAAACGATGAATAAATATATTTTCATAGTATAGCTTATAATACTAATATGAATATGATATAAATGCATAACATTTTATTTTTCATTGATCAAACTACTGCGAGTTAGTATAAGAAAAAACAAACATCTAAAAAATGAATATGTTCTGTATATTCATTTGCTATGCTTTTATTTACTTTTATAGACACTATGAATTGCTTGAGGGCTTAAATAAATACGTTATGATACTACATGTTATAATGTAATAACTGAAAGTATTTGTTTGTCTGCTTATATATGAATCTGTTACAATGATCAAAAGGGTAATAACATTTTTTTTCCCTATGGCAATAAATATAAATTATTAAATGTTCTCGACACTTTTGAAAATAAAACCATTAAATTTCACTATATATTAAGATCAACTATAGTTTTATACGAAATATTTAAGTATAAGATAATTGTCAAGGATAGTCATAAAATAGAGATTTTTAATCTTTATGAATAAAATCAGTATTAATATAAAATCTCATAAATCATAAAAATAGATCAATATAACATATAAAATCTCGATATTAATTCGTTGGAGACGAGAGACATAAGTAGGCGTTTTCTATACTAGAACAATTCAGATTCTATTGATGCATACAACTAATCATCGATTCATGAATGAGTACAAGCGACATACGTTTGTATCGTAGTCAGTATTTAAAAACTTAATAGTGTTGATTAAAAATGAAAATTACTTTACTTCTATTGCTTCTCAAAAATAAATGAATCTCGTTTCGAAAGGATTAACTGAAGTATAGATGTTTCTTTTTGATAAAATACAAATAAATGTTATCTTTCAAGATATATATTAAATAAACATTTCCTATTAGTTAGACATTTTTGTTTTTATTTCTTTTTAAAATAGTCAAATTTATCAATACGAACAAGTGAATCAACACGTATAACAACAGTACCACTTCGTTTTCGAGAATATTCTTCATCAACATTTATTTCAATACGTGGTGCTTATTTTAAACAATCAATTATTTCATTACAAAATTGTCGTTTAGATACAAAAGAAAATCTATTTACATCAGAAATATTTCATATTCATATTGAATTTGAACAAATAATTAATTCAACATGTCAACAAACATGTATTCATCCTGAATTATATGAATGTTCATCATTATCAAATACATGTCAATGTCGTTCATATCAAAATGGCATAGAAAAATTTAAACATTTTTGTATTGATACAGAACTTGGTTCGAATTGTTCAATAACACCAGAACGTTGTCATCGTATATGTCGTATATCTGATCAAATTCATACTGGTAAAATTGATCTCAATTGTCAATGTCCATTAGGTACACAACGTATACTTTCAAAAACTAATATGTATATTTGTGAATTATCTCAATGTATTAATGAAAAATCAGTAGAAACTTGTCCACATGGTTATACATGTCAACAAAAACGATGTATACAAACATCAATTTTCGTTCGTTTAAATGAATCAATATTATCATTACCATTTATATTTATTGGTTTACTTATTAGTGCTTTATTAATTATAATTATACTTATTATTAGTATAATAAAAATGCGTTCAGTAAAATGTGTTAAATTTGTTCATCCGTATGTGTTATCGATTCATTCAAATAATTCGTCACCAATAATAAATACACGTTTATCATCATTAAAATCAACGAATAAATTCTATGAACAATATATGAAAATTAATTCTTTTGATTTATGAAGTTTTCTTTTTTTTTGTTTTGCGAAAGTATAAATGTTCACAGGATTGTTTGCAAATAAAGGTTGTTTTTTTTTTGTTTTACTCTATCTATTTACATCTATAAAATTCTTAGTAATGAAAATCATATTGTATTTATATTATTTAATATGAGAATATCTATAGGTTTTTGATTGCAATAAGAAATCTAATATCTAAAGACTATAGCGAGTTTTATTATTCTAATCAGCAAGGAACATCATATAAGACGGAAATATTTTTCTCTAAATAAATAGATACGAACAAAAGAAACCAACTGTTAATATTAATTAAAACCAATCTGCTCGTAGATGAAATAGACTAAGGCATAAATCAGACGAAATCGAAGGTTGTTAAAGAAAGAGAACATCTAGACATGTTTTTACAACTTATATTTGTTTCATCTGGATTTCTATTTGTTTAAAAGAGAAAAAAAACATTCTCGACCTGATTGTTTATCTATATAAGATTCACATAATTGTTTCTTTTGACAAACTTCTATGTAATTTTCTTTAACATATTCTACTCGAGTAAATAAAAAGAAAATTAAATCATAAATGTACATATGACCATGACCTTAGAACGTAAATCAGCAAAGCAAAGCAAGGCAAGGCAATTATTTCTTATCACCATATGTTTAGGTTCGATTCTTTTATCTAAGTTATCCTACTGCATTGAATCATGTAGATGTACTAAACTAGTACTTGTTATCAACGAATGCATACTTATATTTAGGTTGTCACAATCTCTCACCGTTAACAAGGACATAGATTTATCATGTATGCAACCGACCATTAAACTATTGAACGTCTGAAATAATTAAATTTGAAAGGCTAAAAAAGAAAAGCATCTTAATATAAAACTAAATGTCAATATATTGACAATCAAGTAATTCAAAATCGATTTTATATAGTTGAAATTACATTAAACTAATTACTTAGAGAATTTCATTAATTTTTACGTATTCATATTGAAAATTATATATTTGATACAAGTCAACTGATATTTCTATTAGTAATCTTTCAATTTATTTATTTCTTTTCAATGATATATACAAGTTGCATTACTTAACCGTTATTCATCTGGTCAAGGTCAATGGTCTCAAACGTTATTACTTATAGGAGCAATTTTTTACAGACACACACACACACACAAAAGAGAATCGTTTCTATTAATGGTGTGGTGCTAATCATATATGCAATGAGAATGAATATACAATTTAATGCTTTAGTTTTCATTTGAAGAAATAATATTCTAATATATAATTATAAATCTATATTAAATTGATAAGTTAAATTAAGTAAATATTAATTATTGATAAATTATTTATATGAATTTTTACAAAAACAACATCAAAGATTAAATGATTTTATTATTGAACAACAGAACAATGGAAAAGAAATTTAACAATGAACTTATTTATGAAACGATAGAATTATATGATGTTATCAATTGTCACACTAACTCGTTGTTCTCTTCCTTTGTTTCTTTTTTTTTTTTTATTTTTTGCTCTTCTTGTAGATGATTAGAATCGATCGTATTTCGACTACTGTCTGTATGTCACTAAAAAAGTTTTCTAATCGAACTTCTTTTAGTTGCCGTTCTTTTTTCTTTCCTTTCTGTTTCACCCTTTGAGTACTAGATCGAAAGAGAGAAGATGATAATATTGTTACGAAGAATGATCCCGACAGGCTTCTTCACGTCAACAACAATTGTAGTAGTAGTAGTAGTAGTAGTAGACAACTACTGCTAACTAGAGTTCTCTTTTTTTCTTCTGTTATAATTGACAAAAATGCAAATCAATATTCTATTCTCAAATAAAATAGACACATCGTAAATGATGATGATGATGTGTTAGATAGAATTCTACTAAGAAAAGACTGATGATAGTGATGATGATTTTAACCTTCGTCTATAGGGTGCCACTTTTTTCTATTATCTGATGATGAAGAACGTGTGTATTGATGCATATATATATGTATACGGCTAATCAGGAACACATTTATATATATATATTGCTGATGATATGACCATATTGATCGATACTATGACAAGTATGTAGCAATTGCTCTCTCAGCCTTTCGCTCTGTTTCAAATCAACAGATGCCATTTAGATGAGTGGTTATGACTGTATTTGTATATGTATGTGTATATGATTGGTGCCGTTATTCGTTCTTCCCGTTGTGACAGCAGCTGTACCATGTGAATGAAATTTTACGAACCATACTTCTTAACTATACATACAAGTTTCTTTATATTCGTTCTTTTCTTCTATATGTATAAGATCAGACGCGTAGCGATTGTAAAGTATTTCGAGTGGATGTATACGCCGAACAAGTAAAAGAAAGAAGATCCTTTTTTTTTCTTGTCTCGTTTTTTTTTTTTTGAGATGGAGAAAGAGAAACATAGAGAGACAGAGAGAGTGAGAGAGAAAGAGAAAGAAGCAAGTACAAGATAATGTTTCGTTTCTTATCACTCTTATTCATCTCATCTATTCTTAGTATTCTTTCTCTTTTTTGTCAGGCATACAACGACGTGTGTGCGCCTTATGTCTTATATCATCTTTGGGACGATTTAGATTGTATACAAAGTGGTAACAACATAGACAATATTGTCAATTGGGTTGTGGCACCTACCCAAAAAACAAGAATATGTCAATAATGAAAATAGTCTATTTAATAACAATAGATATCATTTGACTTCATTCGGTAAGAAGATTCTTATGTATTTAATCCTAATTGAATGCCAATCATTTGATTTCATATTCAACTCTAAAGATATAATTCACCTAATTATATCCATGCATTTACGTATAGTCATATCATTTTACATATCTCCACCCCTTTCAAGTTAATCCTCTTTTTTTGAATATAATGTTGTGTTTGCATCTCTTTTATTTCTTTTCTTTTCTTTTACCTTTTTTTTTTTCTAGTATACAGATTTACAACCTGTACCAATATCAGATCACAATTTGAGTGTATTCGATGAATTGTCACATCAATGTAATGCTGTTCTATATAGATCAAATAGAGAACAAAAAAATTCATCATTAACAATAGGTATTAATAATTTTCATTCATCTTATCTAATATCAGCTATAATAATGAATGATTATGAAAAACGTTTTCAACGTTCAATACAAAAATTAACTATACCATCATGGTTTACAGATACTAGACCATCATTAAATAAAATTAATAATAGTAAACAATCAATTAATTCAACTACAACACCTATACAATGGAAAACATCTTATAAAGAATTTCAACGAACGCCTGAAATATTTTATGTACGTATTCCACATAGTTATCGTTCATGTCAATCATCAATAGCAACATCACCATCACCATCAATACATTCTTGGCATCCAAATTTTTTATTAGATAGTTCTCGACGACAAAAAAAATATGAAAAAGGTATTGAACGTGTATCAAAATCTAGTCGATGGTATCAACCAACTCAATTTATTTCTAATGAAATAACAGATGTTCAAACAGGTAAATAAAATACAGATATTTGGATTGAAACAAAGAAAAACATCGATAATCAATCATTGTCATCGTTCGATTATAATTAAAGAGAAAATGATGAGAGAAAGGGAAAGAAAAAGCAAAAAAAAAGAAGAAAATTCTTCTGTTTACTTGATGTTCTTTGCATATTATTACAAGGACACGCTAACTAACTGTATGGTTTCTTCATCAAATTGTCGATTAACAGATCTTTATCGCAGCTTGTACGCATGCTAGACGCATGTGATTGTGTTTTATGTTGATTGTAAGAAAAGGAAAAAGAGAAAATTATAGTTTCTCTTCGATCTTTCTTTTTTTCACTTACGTCTCGTCTTTATTATGTAAAAAGGGATGCGATGTCATATGAGACAATGATGAAAAGTAGACTAAATCGAAAGAAAAAAAAAAAATGAATTGTATACACGGTTTAATGATGCGATTACAATAGACATCATTTCATTAGATGACAAACTTTAGTTTTATATCTTTGATATTAAAAAAATAAATAAAAATCATTTTTGACGAATGTAATTATATTTCATTACTTAGATTATGTTTGTTGAGAGTAAACGAACAAGATTTCTTTCATCGGAAAAATTTCATGACCTTTTCAATGGCAGCTATCTGTCACATTTGTTGTCTTTATATAACTTATCAGTAATCAAAGACAGTCAGGGACAGTCTTTCCGTATGTTTTTTTTTCTGTTGATCATATATTTCCATTTATCTCTCTCATACGATCATTAGAGAAAATAATTGAAAAGAAATGAAAAGAAAACGAAATGAAATAAAGCACAGGATTAGACTATTAATGATTAAAAAAAACAAAAAAAAAAAAAAATTGATTCATACTTTATCGTAAATAATACTATCTTGTCGATCTATACCTAAAATATTAATTAAACTAAATGGCTTCATCTCAATGACGAAGCAAACAACTAGCATACGCCATGTCTACTCTTGTATGAATACATCAAAAGAAAAGCTTGCAATATGTGCACCAATTGTGTGTTCTTACGTTTTCAAGGACTATCGAACGATGAAAAGAAAGCTTTTTCTTTTTATACAGGTAATATAAAAGTATCAACATCAACCAAATACAAACAACAATCGTCTAAAAACAATCATTATGATACACCAAAAATTCACTGTAATGATGAAGGTTTAATATTAATATCAAATCTTTTGGTAACTAATGGTGATATTGAAAAAAACATCATCACGGAGCAAACTAAGAACATGATTACCAATGAAAAGGTTAGTGTGGATTCTATGCACATCGAGTTCTTTTTTTTTTTTCTTCATTTCTTTCTTATGCATATAATAAAAAAAAAAAAGAACGAGATGAAAAGTAGCTTTGTTATTAATTGTTTTTGTCTTCTAGCAACAAGACAATCATATTAAATCAAATGAATCTCAAATAATGCCATTGGCAATGTGAGAAAAATCAATTTTGATTTGTAGTACTGAGCTTCTCGTTTTTTTTTTATTGTTTTATAGTACAAAAGAACCCTCCAGTGGTATTGAATTAGAAGTAGTAACTAATGAAGAACATGACAATCGATCATTACCAATGAAAAATAACGATCTTATACCACCAATAACAAATTTATCATTATCTATTGAAAAATCTGATGATAATGAATTATTTGAACGTGTTGCAAATAATTTAGTTGAATCAGTTCTTACTGATGTCTTACATTTACATAGCCTTGAACATGATGATGATAAAAATAGTGGTGTAAGAGAATTATCAGAAGATGAAAATGGTCTCAGAGAATTAGATGAAAATGATATGAATGATATGGATGAATTTATTGTTTTTGGAACAAATGCAGAAATATCGGACGATGAATATTCATCAAATATTCCACGATATAGTCTTAATAAATTATATACATTTTCAAGAACACATCATAATGGTATTGATAATTCAAAACAAACAACTTCAAATCAGGTATGTTTGAATAGATTTTTAAATTTATCCTCGATATGTTACAGTTCTAGTAAATACAGATTTCTATTATAAAAATCAGTTAATATTTTGTAAGTAATCTGTAGACAAATAATCGACTATGAGCTACTTGTTTGCTTTTTGTCTTGTCAGACTCGTGCACAATGCTATAAGTGTCTTTTCCAAGGATGATTTACACCTATATGTTGTACGTGTCAATATAATACAATTAAAAGAAGTTTTCTTCAATAGACTTCACAAGGTTCATTTACTTTGTTTTTCTTGATTTTGTTACCTTTTTTGATTGTCGTCAGTATTTCGTGCTTTTGTATATCATATATAATTAGAACTATCAAATTCAAGGAAACTTTTTTTTTTTTATCATATACCTGTATATTGATTATTAATGACTGTTACTCGACGAATAAAGCTAAATGAAGGACATGAAAACTAAATAACTCGATCATAATTATCCTTGAACACACTGCTATTTATATTGTTTTTATTTATTTATAGAATGGATCAACATCAACACTTGAGAAAGATTTTATAGTAACTAATTCTCAATTGTATTCAAATACAGAACAATCGTTTGATCAATTTTTTCCTTCATCTCCTATTTGTCAATCTCATATTGAACAGCAACAAAATACTATAGACCATTATATTGATGTAACAGTATATCCTGAATATAGTCATTTAGCGAAATATCAATCATCTGAAGGTGTTAATGAAGAAACAGCAAGAATTGGACGACTTCTACTCGATAGTATACCGACGTCTTTCATTGACGATGTTCATAATCTGTAACTTTATATAGTTTTTTTCTTTTTTATAAATTATATATCCACATCTTTTTAGTTCACAAACTCTGATACCTATTCAATCAACATTAGAAAAAACTCAAATTGTCATATCAGGTCGAAATAACATTTATGATTCTCCAAGGAAAGACTGTCCTCATGCTCAACAAAGAATCATCGAAGAATATGATGAAGGTATTATTATGATGCATTGTCATTCTTTTTTTTATATTGATTCGATTATCCGATTTCTTCTACATCCTAGAATAATCAAGTTAAATATAAAAAGAAAAAAAGAGGAAATAGAATCGATATAATTCAATAGTCTTTTTTCTTATTTTATTATAGAATTAAATGATGAAGTCCATCGTGATTCAGCTTATTCCAGTAATCAAGAACGAATTAATATGCAACAATTATTTTATGAACAATTATCAGAATGCTATTCAGGATATTCATTTATTCAAAGTGATTTTTTAACTCCAAATATTTCATCATTACAATCAACAACAGATGAAGCATATGAATCTGAACCAACAACAATGAGTTCATCAATAGGCGTAACAACTTATGTTCATCCTGATCTTGAACATGAATTTGAATATCCATCACCACCACCACCTATACCTGATCGACGTCTTAAACCAGATTATTTAAAATCATCAACAATCCAATCTCGTTTAATTAAACAAGATAATATTGATTCAGCTGAATATAGTATTATTCAAAAACCTAAATCAGAACCATTAACATCTATTCCACAAATAACTGTTTCAACATCAAATAATTCAAATTTATCTTCAACACGTACTATGAGTAGTCGACATTATTGTGGTTCAATACCTAGATCAGATAAATTAATTCAATCATGTATAGATTCAATAAAAATGAAAACAAAAGACGATAACAATGAAAAAAATAAAGATAAACGAAATACTCGAGTACTTAATTGTTTACATTCATCAACAACTGATGATGATAATAATAATAATCATAATAAACGAAATATAATTACAAAATCACCATCATCATCATTGAATAAAATGAAAATAAAAAAACAAAAATTAATTACAGATTTTGATGAAGCAACTAATGGTTTAGCTATACGTTTACCAGCTCCAATAGATAATTCATATGATTTAACTAATAAACAAAATCATAATAGGTTAGTCTATTTATGAATAACTTATATTTATTTAACAATTAGATTGTTTGTTCGAAAAATTTAATATATGTATTTGATAAATTAATTTAAATATAAAAATTTCTTTTTAAGAATATCAACACCATTAACAAAGAAACGAATCAATGGAATAATAAAAGATCAACATCTAACAGAAAATGTATGTTATTCTCTGAATATTTATTTTATCAAATAATATAGTATTATTTTTCTTTTTAGATTAAACCAGAGAGATCATTATTTTATGAAACATCAGTCTAGACATAATATTTTCTTTTCTTTTTCTCATAAAATATATGTAATCCTAGGAACGTGATTTCATGTTTTTGAATATCACTATGTGATAAACAAAAACATTTAATATATTCAGTTCTCTAGTAATCAATCCTGTGTCGATTTCTTTTTGTAGATGATTTTCTTTTTAATGATATTTTCTTTCTTTTTTTTTTGTATGGAGTGTGTGTATGTTTTTCTTTCCTTTTTGTTTTATATAGCATTCAGTAGAATTGTGCACTGTTCATGATCAAATCGAATGTTTATTAAAATTTCTTTATCAATAATTGAATTCATTTTATTATCTGTGAATATTGATTTTATTACAATTTTATCATTTTTAATCTATTAACAAGAACTTGAGTATATCGAAAAAGAGATAAATTAAAATTAATATGTTATTTAAAGATTATTTCTTATAGAAAAAAAAGCTTAAAGAAATTTTCACTCTATATCAATTGATAGTAAAAACGATGCTCTATGTTTTCGTCCTATTATATCATTCTTCAACTAATATCATAAGAATAAAATTTCAATAAGACCTGTTTGATTAGAATGTGTGATGGTTACATTAGTTTATGTTGTCTTCAATATATATTTTGTTTCAATATTCATACAAGTATGCATGTGTATTTATATCAAGGCGCAGTACAAGAATAGTAATGATGCTAAAAGCGAATTACGAAGAAAGCACAGAACAAAGCAGTTAAAATTCTAAGACTGATCGAGGATTCTAATACTACAGAATTGCTCCATAGATTTGTAGTGGCGAAAACTGTACTATTCACAATCACAATTGACTATTGTATCATCGTTATAAGATTTTGGACATATGCAACTGTTGCAATTTCGTTCATTGTGCTGCTTAAATTTGTAATTAAATTGGTATTCTGTATAGTCTTGTAATATTCATAGTAAAACCATTAGTGATCAGCACTATGGCAGGTTTACGAATTGGTGAGATTTAATCGACGCATTCAGTAGCATAGCTATTAGTGGAGATGGCATATTTTCCTTAAAACTATAAGTAATTTAACCAACGGCAGTTTAAAAATGTATTTTAAAACAAGTAATAATAAGATTAATAGAAAATAGTACTTGTTTTCGAAGAATTTGAAAAGCTTAGCTTATTGCTTTTGAATTCTTTATAGTTATATCTTCTCAGAACATTGTGCCGACTAAATGAAAATAGAGAGAAATTTTTGCTTGCTGATGATGGGCAGTACACAGTTTTATTCAATCAAACAGCTTCAAACTTTTCTTTTACTCTGAAGTGATGTCTTATAACGGTCTATTTGCTTCTTCACCGCTACAATTTCAATAAATAGGCGCTATGCACACCGTTCGTGAAGATAAATGTGAATCATTGAAATTACAGCCAGGTAGTAATATTTTAAGATCTATCTATTTGATTTAGTATTCTAATGCATATTTGCATTATGTACTCATAAAAATATTCAAACGTATCCTACAATCATTCAAGAATTAAAATCAACAACTGAACAATTGAATAGACCATTTGCATCTTCTTTGATCTTGTAAAATTTTCGTTTAGTATTCAAATGATAATGCTACGCATGCAGGATGTAATTTTCATACATGTCAGACGATATACACCAAAGTTTTGGATATAACTACAAAACGCATGACAATTTTTACTATATTTATTAGGGTATTCGATTTTCTTACCATCATTACAAGGTGGATTGAAGTTCAAATTTCTTCTTCAGATATCATACATTTCTCTTTTTTTTTTCTCTTACTAGACAATTCCTGTAAATGAATTAAATCAGAAAAAACAGAACTGTTTTCAATCACAGTCACCTTTTGTTTTGATGCATTTGATTAAATTACGAGATCTTTTCAATCTGGTCTGTACATTTAGCTTCTTATAATTAAACCAAAAGGACATTAACACCATGTTGTATCAGCGATTTATTGAACTACTTAAAAGGCACATATTCACATTAGAAGATTTTACTAAATTAATTTCGTCTAGATGTAGTAATAACGTTATGAAACCACTATTTTTATTATATTTCACCAATTACTGATAAGTATTATTGAATCCAATCTTCATTGTCTGAAGATGATCACGATATTTATCAAAATGAATCTTTAGACGTGTATAAATCTTTGATAACATGACTTCGAAAGTGATATATATTATTGTTATAAATGAAAATAAACAATTGGCATGTGATTTACATGTATGAGGATCTTTTAATAAACTTAATAAGTTTGAACACAACTCTTTCGTTGAAATAGTTGTATAGGGATGTTATAAGCTTTTAAAATTTGTGCAGAAGTTGTTGAATATTTCTAAATTATCTAGCAAGCTTTTGACGGTCTTCGTATCATTTATACTATCGTTCTGAGCTTCATCATCTGGACTAATAACGTTTTCTTCAAAAAATTCTTGTGATTTATGACGAACTTTTTATATTAGCTTTTAATTTTGACATTGTATTCATATCATATATAGATGAAGAAAGAAAGAATATTTACAAACTTATCACTCACATGATAAGATGTATGCAAAATCAAAAGCCATCTTCAAAACAATGTTAAATCTTCGAACAAAAAAACTTAAAAAGAAAGGAAAAAGGAAACTATGTTGATACTAACATATATACTTATATCTTATAATAAAATACCCATACTGAACAGAAGTTGCTCAATATAGATCGATAATGTTTGTCTTCTTGAGAACTCCACATTAGACGACAAGTAAATTAAACAATCAATGTCCAACAGATAGATGTCTCTGCAAAAAAAAGACTATCTCCTTAATCACCGTCTTTCTTTCGTATTATTGGTAAAAAGATTGAAAATAATAGTTAATTTCAATTTATTAAGTACTATGGAAGAAACAAGATGTGAAAATCTCTCATTAGATAAATTGTCACAATGGGTCAGTTTTTCTAAGGTACGAAGCACCTATATGATGATTAATCACTAGTTTTCTTTCTCTCTTTCTAGCTTGACGTAAGCGCATTTATTTCACATTATATGTCACAGTGTTGTTGAGAACTCAAAGCTTCTTTTTTCAATTTTCGTTATGATGTTTCGTTCGCATGTAAATAATATTCAAAACAAAAACAAAGTTTTGAGAACTTGAATTTTTTTCAAGGTTTTAGATAATTAAAACAAAAGTTGGGCGCCACTCTGTTTGTTTATATATAAAACAGTTGAAAGTACAGCTGATTACAGATAATGAATCATATTGATAATTAAACGATCAATCGACAATGTTCTGTAGAAGAATGTTGACAGGCTCACATCGAGTTCTTGCAGTGATGAATTCTACGATGACTCCTTGTCAGTTTGTGTCAGATTTTAATCACCTGATTAATGGAAATGCAACTTTTTCTATGTATATAGCCCGACACAAACAACTTCGAAACCAACAACATTCAGATTCGGCAGGGTGTGGATGTGGGTGTTGATCTTCTTCTCAACTACATCCACACCTCCACCCACCCACACTCTGAGAGTGAGAAATAGTTCAAATCTGCTAGTTTTTATATATTCTATCAATCTAACATCAAACATATGCTGTTACGACTGAAAAAAATTCAGCTTTGAGGAACTTCAAGACAACGAGTCGTGCAAGAACATGGGACGCGACAACATTTTTCGTTTGATTGGCATTCGTTATCACCATGGCATTTGATTCGTGTCATTGAAGGCGTACATGGGATATGTAGACGGCATGGAGGATGGAAGGGTGGACTAGGGCACACACCTGATAAGGATTGAAATAGTGTTCAAGACAGATTTGACAGTATTTACTCACCATCATGAACTTCGGCCGCATGGAATGAAGCAACATAAGCAAGAGCAAGAACAAGAAGAATGGTAAGAGCAGATGAATGCATTTTTCGATTTGGATGTGAAAAATGAAGTGCCTAGTGTTGTTATCAACCGAGCATAGAAAAAAACTGCTGTGGGAAGAAAAGACAGATGGTTGCATGATTGATAAATACGAGGTGTCCCACAAAGTTTGCAAGATTTTTTATTTCGCATATATTTTCTCAAGGATAAATCATAAAACCTTGAATCCTTTTAGAAGATGCACCGTCAAATTTTCGGAAGAATTATTCCAAAGATTTGATGAATTTTCTCGTGAAAGAATTTCGATAATGAATAATCTTGATGAATATCAAATACAAGGAGATATTCTACGTTCAAGAATTGAAAGTGATGCATATCGGCAAACATCGGAAGATTTTGCTCAACTTTATCTTCTTTGACGAGATTCTCAATATGATCTTCATCTTTCATTTCAATGCTTTCAAAGGATTCTTTTACAAAACTTGTGACGAACAATTGATTTCAATCCCAATTCATCAACAATAACAATTGAAACCTTTGATCGAATTGATCAAGTTGAAGCAAGAGAAACTTAGGGTGTGGATGTGGGGTCAGAGTGGGTGTGACTGTAGGCTTGGCTCGAGAGCAGATCGTAGCGACACAACACACACTGAAATCCACCCCACACTCGCACCCACCCACGCCAACACTTCACACCCACACCCGCTTCACGTGTTGTTTCAAACAAGAAAATGTGTTTGCAATGTTTCCTGAAAGCACCATAGTTTTCAGTGAGAATATGGCAAAAGTCTTTAACGATTTTACTAACTGAAAGCTGAAGAATGAAAGACCATATCATTTATAAAAGATCAAACATCGGAGTATCTCTTTATACAACAATTTTATTTCTTAATTTTCGAACGACAACTGACCTTTGTAATGACTAAATAATCTTAAAAGCGACCCGTTTCTAAAGAAAACAACATGATTACCAACAGTTTACAATACGAAGATCTTCATTATTACCAAGCAAGAGCGGAGCCTATCGTTTGCTAGCGAAAACAGCTGAAAAATCATTGATAATTATGGCCAATCAATGGCAATCATTTTTTCCTTGTTCGAGATTTCTTTTAAAATTGAATCGACAGGTTCATTTATTTAAAAAATCTTAA